ATTATTATTATTATTATTATTATTATTTATAAAACCGCATGACCAACCAGCTCAAACTAGCATCCAATTGGTGAAGAGTAAATCAGCTACTGAAATACATAAACTTATACAGAAATCAGAAAGAGCCTGGCAGCACCTTTATTAAAAGGCATAGAAGTTTGTGAACTACAGCTTACTTCAGGGAATAACCATGGAGTTATAGTTCACAAAAGCTTACACCTTTTAATAAAATCTGTTATAGTAGTCTGAAAAGGTGCTACAAGACTTCTGATTTTTGGCTACCGTAGAATAATATTGTTGTCACCCTACAAAGCTTCTGGAGAGGTGATTCACATACAAACCATGAATTGTATATGCTACTGCAGATTAGGGATTCCCAGCTATAACAAATCACACTTAGTTGATCTCCCTGCCTCCTCCCCCCTCGGTGCTTTAGGAAGTCTTGCCAAGCAGAAATAAAGGCGTTCTTAGTGAAAGACTAACATCTTAAGACATTCCTATGGGGATTAGCTAAATCTCAAGCAGAATAAGGGGAATCAAATTGTGCTGCATAATATCAATGAAACATGATCATTAAGGAAATTACAAGAAAGGTACTCCTTGCCTCTGGAAGGTGGGTCCTTCAGAACTGGTTTCTCTGGTAGTAGAAGGGGGTGGATCAGGCTTTGCCCCAGCAACTGAAAAATCTCTTCTTTTGTCCTTTTCATTCCCTGGTGATGATGTATTTGATAGGAAGAAATATGAAAGAGCTGGGAGGAACTGTTTGTCAAGTTGTTTTGATTTTACTACTTTGAGTTAATTCTTTCTTACTCACTTACTGATTAAAGAAGGCTGTCAGGTTTGGGCAATCACTATCTTTCCCCTAGAGGGGAAATTTGCACCTGAAGACTTCCAGTCTTCCAAATCTTTTCCCAGTAGTACTTCTACTTGGAGACTCAGAATGTGAGTTCAAGGAATAAGGTCTCTCTAACAGGGGCAGCCAATGTTCTGGAAACTATTTGGGTGGTTGTTGGATTGATGTGCCTGTGGAGATCCCAAGAAGGAGTTGGGCAGAATACAGAGAGGGAAAGGTAAAGGAAGAAGGTGAGCAACAGAAAGGGGGCGAGTGGGTGGCTTTTAGGATTTTCAAGGAGCTTTTAGATATTGTGATGATTCTACTGGTGGCCGCATGATAAGAAGGCAGGAGAGAAATGTTGGGAAGACAGGAGAAATGCAGATCAGGAAGGCAGGAGTGAACTTAGGGTGCATGAAGTACTTTCTTCAGCCTTTGTTCTAACTTGGGCAGCAGCCCTACTGTGACTTTATTAATATTGTACCAATTAATGAGCGTCCACATCTTGCCCCATTATGTGAATTGCTCAGTTCTGCTTTGTAGAGAAAGATCAATATGTTTCCTCAGTAATTTTGTAATGCCCCTGTAAATTCCATACCAGAGTCCAACGTGGACTTGCAATAAATTCCTGATAGTACAGTAGTTGGCTTTGGATGTGATATTATGGGATGGGGAACTGCCTTTGCAGAGAGCTTGGAGTAATAGAGGAATTAAATGCCACAAGTATTGAATTCTACTCCTGCATGGGAAAGAAGAAACACAGTTCATTGCCTTCATAAGCCAAAGGATCAAAATCTGTTGCCTTCTGTTTTGTTTGAACTGTACGAAGGGTGAAGAAGATGCTTTTTTCCAAATTGGGGGGCTTCTCCTGTGTCTCTTTCTGAATCTCAGGGCTTCTCTTAGGTGTGTTCTCTTTCAGTAATAGTGCTGAGATCATCTTTGTTGATCCTTGATCAGTTTTAGTTGACTCAAGGGAGCCTTTATCTTTTCTTCATTAGCAGTCCAGACTTGTGTTAGAGACAGCAAGGTAGCATTATTTGATTTTATCAGTTCCTCACTGGTCTTGCTGATCAGTAGTACCTTACTTGCATCCTGTTCTTTTCCTCTCTCTGTTTTTGAATGTCTGAATGAGGGATTTCATTCTGCTGCAGACAGGAGGATATATCAGGGCACTTGGCAGAGTGGAGCAGAGGATGCAAAAATGCTGGGTTCTCAACGTTTTGCATTTCAATACCCTGCTGCGACCTCCCCTCCTTCTTTTTGTAGGGCATGAATCAAGATTATATGTAGCAGAAAGAGAGATCCATCTCTCTTCAGGAACTATAGTGATCTCTTTCAGCCAAGTGACTCCCAACGTACTTGCCCCAGTTTAGACTTCAGAAATTACTCCAGTTAACTACACCACTTCAGGTAGTGAGTAGTCACAGAAGGATGTCTGTGAAGGTAGAATTTATTTTGCAATAATGTACCAAATGACTTGACACAAATGATGCAGGTAGCTTAAAGTTTAGATAGTCAATAAGTAGCTAAAGAATGAAAAGCTATTGTTTCCTAATAGGAAATAATCTGAGAAGCTGTTATGTATAATATGTATAAATTCTTAATTAGAAGCCAACAGTTCTCTGTGTTTGCATACCAGCTGTGAGCCAGTTTTATGCTTTTTTTTTTTGCCAGTTATGAAGAAATCATGTATTTGCATATTAATACTGGAATACCAGAATTTTTTTTTTTTAAAGGCACTATTTAAAGAAGACAAAAGTGAAACATTCTGTAAAAGTCTAGCTTGGGATAGCATAGCCATTTTTGAAGATGAAAAAGAATCTCTAATTAAAAAGTTTCCTAGTATGGCCCCCACTAAGTTTAGAACACATCTGCCTTTTTAATAGAGGTTTAAAGTCAGGAGTTGTGTGAGAGGTCTCAAAACAGGTGACATCAAATCTTATAAATTAACCATCTATCCTTATTCACAGGGGAATGCTCCTTTTTTTTCTTCTACTCCTAACGCAGCCAAGTTTTCTAGAGCAACCCTCTTGCTACAGGTAATGTTCTCCAAGGGAGAACAAATCCTTAAGACATACTTTCTCCTCTCGCCCTCTACATAAGCCTCTGGTATCTTACTCAGAAACTACTTCTGTCATTTCCTTGTTCCTCCTTAGTTGTTGCAAACTGGCAATCCTGGTGGTGGCTCTAAGGGCTGAACAGGAAAACTGCACTGACTCAGCCAAGGAATTTGCTGTCCTTAGGTGTTGCAATCCAGTTCCTTGAGCAGAAGCGTCCTGTCCTTTCCCTGAGAATCCTGTAACTGAGTAAGCAAGGATTGAAGTTAGGAGTTTGGTATGGAAAGATTAGTCCTAAAGAACCCAAACTGGAACCTGTGGAAATCCAGAAGCAAAAAAGTATAGAGTGTATAAAGTGAGGTGCTAGGAAATGTGATCCAAAAGAACCAGAGTTTTTCTTTGTTTTCTGTTTGTCTCCCAGTTAGCATCCTTTCCCCTCTTTGATAGACACGTTTGTAGTAATGTGGCTGTATATCCATTCCCATACTCCTTTTTTTTCCTGTGGCCATTTTGCATTTGACGAGGCAGGAAGACATTAGCCACTTAAGCCATCTGCATGCTTCTACCCTTGAGTTTGCTGTAAGGAGATTTCATCTCATCAGTAACACATTACTGCTGTTCTAAGAATGGACTGTTGGAGTCTGAGCCTCAAGGATATGAACCACAGAATAAATGACACTTTACTGTTAAATTCCAAACTGGAGAAGTTATCTGATATATAACTAGGGCCAATTAAAAAAGGCAATGAAAGGATCAAATTTCCATAAGCTTTCTCCTAAGAAAAAGTAATTTGCAAGTGGGAGGAGGGAATCTGTTCTTGGGTGATGCAAGCATATCTTCTAACTGAGGCATTTCATTCCTTTAGGAGAAGATGCCTCTTACAATGGATGCTTAATTGAAGTATTATTTTAAAAAATTAAACAAAAATCTGAGAGTGTTTAAGTAGGGAGCAACGTTCAGTTTCTTTAAATGTGGGTGCATTTTTAATGGGCAATTCTGAAAACTGAGCTCTCTAATTCACTCTTTCCAACTCTCAACAGGTCGGTTTTCTTCCAGCTCCCTTGTTGCTGCCACTACGCTTCAGCCCACTGACACCATGGATAGATGATCCTGGCTCTGCACCGCTATGCTACAGTTGCGTGGCCGCTACCTGCTGCTCTTCCTGGGAGTGCAGCTGGTGGTGATGGCCCTGCTGTACCGCGAGGGCTACCGGAAACGTGTTGCTTATTTCCTAGGCATTTTTTGCAAAGGGGGCACATTGACTATGCTGGCCAGCCTCCCCAATGCATCACTGCCAGGGGATGTCTATGCCAACCTCAGCCTGATTGCCCGGCCCCCTCTGCCCCCTGAAGATCTTCCCTATTGCCCTGAAGTCTCTCCTTTTCTTGGTAAGTGAACCAGAGCTCTTCTGCCATCAGTTCTAATTCTGTTGGAGCTAGAATTTGAGTTTTGTTTCAAGTTTTCAGTGTGTGGTGAAGGGAAAACACCAGCCTCCTTGTAAGTAAGCCACAGCTCCTGACTATAAGTGCCTGCAGACTCAGGGCTAAGTTTAAAGGCAGGTGTGGGAGTTGGATAAGAAGGTGGAGGGAGATGCAGGTATCAGAGGACCATGAGAAGCCTGCAGAGGAAGTGCCTGCTGGAATAACCCTTATCAAGGCCTGCCTAAACAGACTCACCCACCCTTCTATGCTGTCTGGCTGGGACCCAGCTCATTTTTTAGGTTCCTCATATTGGAAAGCCTTACTTAGAAGAAAGGAAGAGCCCAGAGACTTTCAAAGCAGGGAATTGCTTATATTCCAAGGCTGGGAAGCCCACTGAGTCTGCTGTTGCAAAAGGAGGATAATAGGCCTCAAACGGCTGTAGCCTAACCTATATTTTCCCTTGGTTTGATGACTGGGGAATTCTGGGAGTTGAAGTCCACACATCTTAAAGTTTCCAAGTTTGAAAAACACTGCTCTAATTCCCTAATACATCGGGCAGTAGGAAAGAAATGGACTAATATCTCTCTACTTATGTACAGGAGGGCCCATTCGAGTGACCCTTCCCCTTGGATTGTCGCTTGAAGATGTCTTGCGAAAGAATCCCTATGTGAGCAAAGGGGGGCGTTACCGTCCCCCCGACTGTGATGCCATTCACAAAACAGCTGTCATCATTCCCCACCGTAATCGGGAGCAACACCTCAAGTACCTGCTCTATTATTTGCATCCTTTCCTGCAACGACAGCAGCTCAGTTATGGCATCTACATCATCCATCAGGTATGCCATTGTGACAGCAGCGAAGCTGGGAACAAACTCTCCTGCATTCGTCAGCACAGTCCTTGAAAGGAAACGGGTTCGGGATGAAAGCAGGGAGGTGGGAACCACAGATGCAGCAGGGCAGAGTGGTCGTTTTTCCAGGTGTGGAAAACTGGCAGTCCGAGTTTCCACCTTGAGGCATGGTCTACACCGGTAGCATCAGCCCCAGGATTTGGTGCCTCAAGTGATGGGAGAGGAGGCTGTTGTGCTGGAATGTCTACCAGACCCTGGGAATATGGAGGAGGACCTTTACAGAAAAGATTCCTTAGTGCAGGGAAGAGAGGAAGTGTGAGAAGGAGATTTAGTAACTCAGCCTTAATTATGCTAGGTCAGCGTTTCTCAACCATGCCAACTTGAAGATGTGTGGACTTCAACTCCCAGAATTCCACACATCT